GGTCACACAGTCTGTGGCAGCGCTTGTGTTGGAACTGAAGTCTGTCAGTGTCTGAAGCCAGGATGTGCGCGTGGGCAGGAGAGGGGGAATGGGAGCGAGGGGAGGGAAGATGCTGAGAACTGTGGGATTTCTCCTCCTGCAGTGTGGAGAAATTAAAGGAAAATACTCTGAAGACAGCACGGTCCCGCCAGGCCATCGGCCAGCTCAGACCCAGGTCTGCAGCACTCTAGCCAGGTGTGCTGGGTGCTTAGACAGGATTTGTGTTCCTGGAAAACTGGTTTTAAATCATTTTTTAAAAACACAAATAAAACCATCCTTTAGAGCCCCTGGGGAGGGTTCCGGCTTGATGGGAGGCTGCAGTGAATTTTCTTCTGTTCCGTGAGGCGTTCCTTAGGGCCTTTGGATTTGTCCAGCTGGATTTTCTCAAAGCATGGATGGTAGAGAAGGCAACCACCCAGCTCTGGCCGAGACGAGCGCAGACTCGGTGGATGTCCTTCATGGGGGTTCCTAGCCCCCGGCTGAGCCTGTTCCCTTCCCACTAACACTGGAGTTAAGCCCAGCTCTGGGCCCCAGCTCTGGGGACAGGCTGGAGTCCTGAGCCAGCAGCTCCGGTTAGGAAATTAATAAAGAAAGAGAAGCTCTCGCAGCCAGGCCCATGGCGAGAGACGAGTTAGGTCATGTCTCTTTCTGTTCAGTTGGATATTAGTCCCAACCCTGATGTCACCTTCAAGCTATTAAGCATCACCCTGAGAGACACGCGTGAGTGGCTCGAGAGCCTCTTATCAGGCATGCTCTGAGTCTTGCTGTTGACAGTGGTCAGGCCCTGGAAGCTGTTTCTTTGTCAACTACAGGTCAAAGAGGAGAAGCTTCTCCAGACTTCAGACAGGGTTCAGGGAGTGGGTATCCTGTCCTCCTCTTCAAGGACATGACCTACCAGACCTGGTCACTGAAGGTCTGATTGACATCAAGCCATTCTGCCAGCTTCTGGGCCAGAGCTTTCCCTAAAGTTCCCTCTCTCATCCATCCATCCATCCATCCCATACTCTCTATTGAACATTTATGATGTGCCAGGCATCATGCTAGTAGCTGGAAATAAAATGGTCAGAGAAACACATTCCCTTTCTCTCCCTTCCACCCTAGAAAGAAGACCCCAAATGAACAAACAAACAAAAAAAATTAGAAATTATGGTAGTGGCCATCAAGGAACATTCATAAGGTGGGAAGATAGAGATAAACAGATAATGGTAGCCACAGATGACGGCAGCCTTAGAGAAGGGCATAGATTTGGGATATTTCTGAAGATGCTTCAAAACTATTCCGGTGTTCAGAGTTGGCAACAAATGCAACTGAGATGGGGCAGAAGTGACAGTCCAGTGCTGTGGTGGCCAATGAAGATGCAACTGACCAAGTGTCTT